CAACTGAGGCTACATTACCCAGCAAGGCTATCATTTAAAACTGAAAGAGAAATAAGGAGCATCCCAGACAAGAAAAAGCTAGAGGACTTTGTTAACACCAAACCAGTACTGCAACAAATGTTAAAGGGCTTGCTTTAAGAAGAAGAAAAAGAGAAAGAAAAATAAAAACAGAGGAAACAGCCTAACGATAAAATGGTACTACATATGTATCTATCAATAATCACCTTACATGTAAATGGCTTAAATGCTCTGACCCAGAGACAGAGGGTAGCTGAATGGGTAAGAAAATAAGACCCATATATGTGATGCCTCCAAGAGACCCATCTCAGATGAAGAGATAAACACAGACCAAGAGTAGAGATGCAAATTAAAACCACAGTCAGATACCACTTCACACCAGTCAGAAAAATCAACAAACAGCAAGTGCTGGTGAGGGTGTGGAGAAAAGCAAACCCTAGTACACTGTTGGTAGGAATGCAGACTGGTGCAGCCACTGTGGAAAAAAGTATGAAATATCCTCAAAAAACTAAAAATGGAACTGCCTTTTGACCCAAAAATTCCACTTGGGATTATACCCTAAAAACCCTGAAACACCAATTCAAAGACCCTATGCACCCCAATGTTCATAGCAGCATTATTTACAATAGCCAAGTGCAGGAAACAGCCTAAGTGCCCATCAGGAAATGGGAGGATCAAAAACTGTGGTATATTTACGCAACAGAATACTATGTACCAGACAGAAAGAAAGAACTCCTACCCTTCACAATGGCATGGATGGAAATGAAGTGTATCATGTTAGGTGAAATAAGCCAGGCAGTAGAAGACAAATACCATATATGATCTCACCTATAAGTGGAACCTAATCAACAAAACAAACAAGAAAGCAAAATAGAACCAGAGACACGGAAATAAAGAACAAACTGACAGTGACCAGAGGGGAGAGGGAGAGGAATAACAAGGGAAAGAAGGGGAAAGGTCAAGTCAAGGAACATGTATAAAGGACCCATGGTCAACAACAACAATGTGGAGGGAGGATTGAATGTGGGAGGTGGGGGTGGGTAGGGAAGGCGAGAGTAATGGGGGAAAACTGGGGACAAGTGTAATTAAACAACAATAAAAAAGGAAAGGATTGGAAAAGGATATTTCATATAAATGGAAAATAATAAAAGCTGGGGTAGCAGTTCTTATATCTGACAAAATAGACTTTAAAACCAAGGCTATAGTAAGAGACAAAGAAGAACACTACATAATGATAAAGGGAACAACCCAAGAGGATATAACCCTAGTAAGCACTTAGGCACCCAATATAAGAGCACCTAAATACGTAAAACAAATCTTCATGAACATAAAGGGAGAGATTGACAGAAATAGTCATAGTTGGGGATTTTAACACCCCATTGGCTTCAATGGATCTACAAGACAGAAAATCAACAAGGAGACAGAAGCCTTAAACGACACACTAGATCAAATGAATTTAATCAACATCTTCAGAGCATTTCACCCCAAAGCAGCAGAATATACGTACTTTTCAAGCGCACATAGGATACTTTCTAGGATAGACCACATGTAAGGACACAAAACAAATCTCAATAAATTTAAGAAGATTGAAATTATATCAAGCACCTTCCCTGACCACAATGCTATGAAACTAGAAATCAGTCACAAGAACACTGAAAAACATGCAAAGACATGGAATCTAAATAACACGTTATTCAACAATGAATGGGTCAACAAGATCAAGGAAAAATATATATACCTTGAAAAAAATGAAAATGAAGACATAACAATCTAAAATCTGTGGGACACAGGGCAAGCAGTCCTAAGAGAGAAGTCAGAGCCTACCAGCCTATCTCAAAAAACAAGAAAAAGTTCAAATAAATGACTTAAGTTGAAAAAGATCAACAAACAAAGCACAGAGTGAGTAGAAGGAAGGAAATAATAAAGATGAGAGCAGAAATAAATGAAGTCTAAAAAATACAAAAATCATTGAATCCAAGAGCTGGTGCATGGAAAAGATAAGATTGACAAACCTTTAACCAGTCTCATCAAGAAAAAAAGAGAAAGGACCCAAATAAATAAAATCAGAAATGAAAGAGGAAAAATAACAACTGACATCAAAGAAATACAAAGGATTTTAAGAAAATATTATGAATAATTATATGCCAACAAACTGGACAACCTGGATGAACTGGATAAATTCCTAGAAACATACAATCTTCCAATAATAAATCAGGAAGAATCAGAGAACCTAAGAAATACATAAAAGTCTCTTGAACTCCTGCTATAATTCTTGCCCTTGCCATTGCCATTCCATGAGGGGAAAAAAAAAAGCACTGGTCAGCTCTACCTAGTGAGCCACTTGGCTTTAAATTCCTTTTTAAATCTAAGACAGAAACAGAAATTGTCTCTTGGTGATTCTTTAAGAGCTCATTCTCTGTCTCTCTGAAGAGCCTGGAAAAACTTGTATCATTTTCATACTAGAGGAAGTTTGTATTTACTAAAAAGTTAAAAACAGAGAAATTTTGAATTTGATAAAAATTAAATACTTGGGTGGATGACTGCTTCCAAACCCATCTTAATTTTGTAGAAGGACATACTTCTCTGTCCCAAAACTTATATAAGAATATTATGCATTCTTCTTGCTCCTTTTCTACTTCCTACCATTTAAAGCATCACGATAATCAAGGGAAGGTGGAGGCAGAAATCTGCCGCACTCCTGAGGGTCTTAGTGGGAGGAAAGGGAAATGGGAGCGCTAACTAGTCTCTTCAATAAGTGGTTTGGCCCTGAGGTCAAGTTCCCTCACATCCATGTGACCAGCTAAACTCCATCTGAAGGTGAGAGAAAAATTATTGACATCAGTCGTTAGATGAATACAGAATTTAAACTGCAGCCTTAAATTTGCTAGGGAATTCCAAGTCATGTAGAAATTAGAGTACATGTAATACTGTTCAAAGTGATGCCCAAGAGAAGCAGGCAATGAGTTCAAATAGGTTTTTCATAGAAGAGAATGCAGGAGAAATCGCATTATGAGATGAGGAGAAATCAGAATAAAAGAACCAGAAAGAAGGAAAGCCGGACTTGAGGACCACGTGCATCGTCACTGCCCAGGATGCTAGGACATGACTAATTTGAAAGTGCTGAGCAGCCACGTCTGCCTTGATAAACTGAAGCAGATTGCACAACCTTCTTCAGTGTGCATACCTTGCCTTACGGAATTTACAACTCAATAGTTAAACTCTTTGGTAAGTTCTAAAAAAAAATGAAGGCTGTCTTTCATATCTAGTGATTAAGTGAAGGACGGGAAATAATTTGGAAGCATCAGCTTATGGTCAGAGATTCTCCTGGAAAGAGATGGCAGTATTTCTAGTATTCCATTCACTTCCTGGAATTTCTAAATACAGCTTTTAATCTCTCGGCTGAGTATTCTGGGTAACATGCCATTTTTATATTATATTTATTTAATGCACAGACATGCAAACTCCAAAAGGACAGCAGTTTCTGTCTTATTTGTTCATCTAGAAGAGTATCTGGCATATACCAGGTAGCACCATTTATTTTTACGGTATAACTTTACAAAGGTCTTTCTAGAACCCTAGATCCTAGAGATTCCTCTCTTAGCTCTGTCATCTGTGTGTGTAAAAGTATGCATGTGTGTGTGTGTCTATATTATATTATTATATATACTATTATATATTGTTATCAATATGTATAACTATATATATTATGTATATATAATATAATAATATGTATTATGTGTGTATGCATATACACATATGCATATATAGGCACTATACATATATGTCTGTATATTTACTGAACCATTTCTATTTTAGGAAAAAATGTTACTGCTTGTAAACATAAAATTCATGCTACATATTGCCATTGTGTTTCCATCAAATCATGAAACTTTAGACTCTAAGCATTAATGATGCATCTCAAATACTGTTTATGACTTATACAGATAAAGTTGCACACAACAGTGTTAACTCTTAATAAAGTGATTTGAGAGCCTAATGATAGTCTGCTTGTTATTAGAGGAGTTGGGGAAGGGGTGTGCTATAGGCTGGTGAAGGATCCCCATAACTATCCTCCCATAACCCTTACATACACACGTGCACACAAACACACACCGGTGATCAACTTCTTAGGGGTTCAACTTTGATATACTTTTAGAATATTCAAGTATTCAGAAAGAATCAAATACTCAGAAAATAATGCATGGCTTTTTACAGCTTTAAGGTCTATGTCTCACCATCTACTTGAATTGTAAAGGAGTGTAGAAAAACTTTCACAGCAAATTAGTCTAAAGTGAAACAAGAACTGTAAGTGTGAGTGAATGAGTGTGAGTGGGTGAGTGTGATACACTGTAGGAGTTTCTCTTAAAATATTCCCTGTTGTCCTTGGCTGGTGTGGCTCAGTGGATTGAGTTTTGATCTGTGAACCAAAGGGTGGCTGGTTCAATTCCCAGTCAGGGCACATGCCTGGGTTGCAGGCCAGTCCCCAGCAGGGGGTACACAAGAAGGCAACCATAGATTGATGTTTCTCTCCCTTTTTTCTCCCTCCCTTCCTCTCTCTCTAAAAATAAATAAATAAAATCTCTAAAAAATATTCCCCGTTGTCAATATGTCAACTGTTTTGCTCCCTCCGTTCCTGTCCCTGGTCTCTTATGGAATGTTTCAGAAGGAGAGAAATATATGTAAAGACATAAGCTTTCTGTTTGCTTGGGCTTTTAGATGAATGGAAATTTGTTACGAAACTGGTTTAAATTCCATTAGAAATCTTAACATGTTAATGAGTAGCCTGGCTTCTCTACTATGGTCAGTAGTCTGCTGAATTGTTGGTGCAAACACAAATATGTCCATTTTCCAGATGAGGAAACGCTGACCCAGAGCCTGCAATGCTTTGGTGCAAGGCTCCCTGGGAGCAAAATTGCCTCAGTGGGTGAAAGCAGACCCCAGGTCTCTGGGCTCCCTTTGACCAAAGCCAAAGAAGTACTCACGTCATGATCTGGTTCTCCACGCCAGCCTCCACCAGGGCCCCGTCGACAAACAGAGGGACCGAAGTGAAAGCATACTTGTCCCAGGAGTGGCCCTCGTTGAAACTCACCCTGCGTTAGAAACAAGTACATGAAAGAGACAGCTGAAAATAAAACCACACTCTTCTGCCACCATTTTCCAGGTTAGTAAATTATCCTGTCTCGCTCTCTGGCAGTTTGGATTATCAATGGGCATTAATCACCAACATCTACCCATATTATTATGAGATTGACTAAAGCTGCATTTCCTAGCCCAGGCAGAAACACCACCAGGGCTGCAGAAATACTTCATTGTATTAGAATTGAAAAAACAACCCAAGCAGCCAGGCTTAGTGCATGGAGTGTCACGTTTCAAGTACTCAGAATGGAACCCAAGGCTCAATATACTGCACGATCAATTCAGCCCTTGGAGTTTTTGACACAGATAAATTGAGTAGTGTCAAGTGTATCCTATGGGAGGGGAGGTGTGTGTCTTTAGATCATACCTTTAAAAAAACAACTTCCTACTAGTTCAGAGTGGATGTTAGGATCATTTTCCCTCCCCAGTGCCACTTTAAGAGGCTTTTAGGGATGAATATTGAGTGTTGGGGATATTCTGGGCAACACTATGCCATCTTTCATCCAATGGTAAGAGGAAGGTCTGGCCCTTTGTGGATACAACTTCAGAAACTTTTTAAGCAATGTAGCTAAGGACTCGAGTGATTCTGAGTGCTTGCTTCCCTCCCTTTGCTGGCACTCTCAAGGCCTTGCCTGCCCTTGATTTAAGCAGGGACACAGCCCAAAGACCATCTCCTCTGAAAAGCTTTTCCCAACACTGCTTCTACAAGGCAGCTTTATTTGCTTCATTCTCAGAGATTCTTCCCGGCCAGGTTAATTTTTAATTCTTCTCTGAGTCCACAACACAGGATTCTCTGAGTTCAATTGCAGAAATTTTATTTCCTATAAGACCCAAACCTTCTTCTATCAGAGTGCTGAGTGATGGTTTTTTAACTTATCTTGAATCCCTCAATTCAACATTATAATCTTGGGAGTTCAGGGGTGCCGTGTATGTCATGTTCACTGAATGACCCCTTAACACCACCCACATATCTATATTAGACCGTTTTTCTGATATTGCATATATATTATCAAAAATATGCCTGAGTTTCCCAATGAACTCTTTGGGATTAAAGACCATAGCATTGATTTTTGCATGCCTAGTACTTAGCAGGAAAAATTGGCACAGGGTACTATATAAATGTTAAATGAGTAAATGAATAAAATAAAATAAGGAATGATTAAGAGTCTTCTTCTAACCCACCCAAGCATTTTTTCAAGCATGATTTACACTTCTATCTATGAACTGGATTTGGGAGTCTCTTCCCCCTTAGAGTCAACTGATTCAGTCTGTTTCTTATTTATTTATCTCTTTGACTCTCTCAGTCTCTTTCTTTTTCTGTCTTATCCTCTCTTCCCCAATATATTGATTAAAAAGAATTAGAAAGTCAATCTCTTTACCACTAGAACAATTAATCTCTCAGACAATTTTTGTATTTATGGTGTACCTAGGTCTCTATCCAGACAAAAAAGAATATAGTTGCTCATAAAAGTTCTGTGGGTTCCTAAATTAAGAGTGTATGTTTTGACTAAAAAAAAAACATTATTGAGATATCTTTAACATATAAAATCATTTATAGTTAAAGTACATAAGTTGATGTTTTGATATATTGTGGAAAAATCACCACAGTAGAGCTGATTTCAGGGGAGAGTGGGGAGGAAGAAGAGAGAAAGGGGACTTTGATCAAAAGGTACATAGTTTCATTACGTAAGATGAACAAGTGTTGAATACCTAATATAAAGCATGATGATGGTAGTCAGCAATGCTGTCATAACTTTTAAGGACTTGGTCATTTTAGTTTTTTAAAAATAGTCTAAAAGCTAAATAATCGTCTAAGCTGACTCAGAGAAAGTTGGGCAGATCTAAGCTGCTTTTCTTGGAAATGAGGTTCTCATTGCAAAAGTGAAACAAAAGCATGATTCGGAATGGACTTGACTTTTTTTTGCCATGTACCATCTTGGTTCCTAAAATAATCATAGCTGTTTCAGACTGTTCCAGGGCCACTAACTAGTTAACGCTGTGTGGTAAGTCCAGGAAGTAAAAAATATATATATATATTTGTCTAATTTCCCATTCGTCTGTTTTAGTGACTTTGAATAAATTGATTATCTTGAGAGAAAAAAGCCAAAGTGAGTTGAAGGCCTTTGTCCTTGTCTCATTCTCAGACTTTCCTTACTGATGAAGGTCAAGTATTAACACTAGTAGAACAAATTGTTGTTAGTGTCACCAGTATTCAAGGGAAGAAAGAGCCCTCATTACACTAACATTAATAGAAGGGCAGCCCCGGCCAGCATGGCTCAGTTGGTTGGAGCATTACCCCATAGACTGAAAGGTCATGGGTTTGATTCTCAGTCAGGGTAGATACCCAGTTTGGGGTTCAGTCCCTGGTCTGGGACCATACAAGAAGGCAATGAATCAGTGTTTCTCTTTCACATTGATGTCTCTCCCTCCCTCCACCCCCACTTTCCTCTCTCTCTAAAAAAAAAGAAAAAAAGCAATGAAAAAATGTCTTTGGGTGAGGATAAAAAAAACCAGGACAGAGAATAGTTATCTTTACATTATACATGAAGATAAATTACCATAGTAGACACAGAGGGGCCATCACAGCCTTCTAGCTCAAAAATGGGAGCTCCAAAGAGGATCCAAGCCAGAGATAAACAGAGGAACGGTAGAAGATAAAAGCCCAGCTGAATAAACTGAATTCATATGGAAGGAGTGGAAGTATGGGTTAGAGGGAAGGGTGGGATGAGCAGGGAAAATGAGACATGCCAAAATCCAGGTGGGAAAGCTAGCAGATACAATAATCAAAGTGCAAAGATCAGCACAAGCAAAGGGGGAAGTCTCCAGAGCCAGAGTGAGGAATGAATCTGTGACGGATGCCTTGTTAAGGTCCGTGCGCCACTGGAAATAAGGATGGTGCCACTCACAGGTCTTCCAAGACCACTAATTCCTAACACATGACTAATTATTTAAAAAAATAAACAACAAAAAATTGCCTAAAGAAACTCCAAAAAATACATTTAAATCACTTTATCTCTTGTGTATCAGAAATGTGAGTCTGTCTGGGTGACTTGTCATGAGTGAAAGTGGTTCTTTTCGATGACTAGAAGTGTTTAAATGTTCTGAATCAACTATATTGAATGGTGTCCCCAGGAGATCCACCTTCTCCTTCTCAGTTCAATAGCTCATTAATGGCCAAGACAAAGGAATTAGGAATTTCTCATTAGGTCCCCAGGTGAAATTGAAATTGGTAGGATTGCCAATACTCAGGGAGACAGTGAGTGATACAGGGTACAGCCGAGAGGGGGCGCGGAAAAAGGGATTTGGAATGGGGTCCAGAGCTCGAGGTGTCTAGGAAATATTGGAGAGACATATACGATGTCCTCACCCCTTCCCCCACAGGTGTGAGTTGGGGAAGGGACACATGGAGCAGGAACATGCAGGGCTGTTTTGTACAGCCACAGCCTTGCAACTAATCCATGGCATGGTCGTTTAACATATCTATAGCCTTTGGCGGGTTGCTCAGATGTATTAAATAGCTGTGGCCATGCTTGGAGCTAGGGGGATGGAAGTCACCTCCACCAGATGTAACTGTGGGGACAGGTCCCTGAGGGAGCTGCGTGGGAGCTTGGAGAAGATTGGCTCCATGACATGGGGCCATACCTACCCAGACTCATGACGGCAGCCCAGTAAAACTGGAATAACACAGGAATACTGCTAGGTGTAACTGATTGTGGGAAGAGTTAGAAATGGGGGTACAAAGGAAGACTGGCATGGAGATTTAAACCCAGACACGGCAGCCATTGTGAGGTACCAAGCGACTTTGCTGGAGTGGCAACCCTCCCAACTCCACAGCTTTGGAAGAGAAGAGAGACCCACGTGGTTTGGCGAGAGTGCAGACCCTTGCAGCTTTGGTAGAGGAGGACCACGCAGCTTTGGGGTGCTCCCTTTGGCCATGTGGCCTGGGAAGCAGGACAAACTTTGCCTGGAAAATGGGTACAAAGAACTCTTGCCAGTGGACCGTGAGGTGCCACATGGTTTTGGATTAATTAGAGATCCTGCCTGGATGGCAACATAGCTGACAGTGCCAGCAGCCTAAAACACAGACCTGTGCTTCTTTTGCTGAGTTATGGTACCCTTAAATTAGGGCAGGGGGATAAGGAAGTACTATGTGCATCTGTGGATATCCTAAAGGACTTTGATATTTTAACAAAGATGTTAGGTCACTACTTTAAGTCTGTATAGCATTAAATAAACATTTCCTTTCCTTTTCGCAAATCTCTGGCATTGAGAGACATCTTTTCAATAGGGTGGTGGACATAGCAAACCTTGGCCCCTGTTGCTCTGTAACAACAGGAGTAAAGTTATAACTGGCCTCCAAATAGTGGCAAGACAGGACTGCAAAATACAAATAAAATAAGATTAATTTATCAAACATTTATTGATGCCTACTCTGTGACAGTGCTGGGACCACCCTCTGTTTCAGAGATGTAGCAGCGAACAAGAAAGGGATGGCCCCAACTTCAGTAGAACTTACATTCTAGTTTGAGGAGACAGACAGTCAGCAGATGAATGGATACAAACACAGGAGGTGGAAAAAGGTGTCATGAAGGCAATTAAAATAGAGTGATGTGATGGAGAGTGACTGAACACATATTTTATATCAGAAATTTAAGAAAGTCCTCTCTGAGGAGGTGACATTTAAACTAAAATCCGAATAATAAGGAACTAGCTGTGCAGAGATCAAGGTGAGAGCCATTCCAGAAGGGAGATCGAATGTGAAATGAAGTTGCTGTACAGGGAGAACAGAAAAATGTTCAGTGGTTGTAGATTAGTGGGAAAGAAAATTAGCAGAAGGAAATGCAGTCAAAAAAAGGGGGGGGGGCAGACTAAAAAGGACTTTTTTTCCAGTTGAAATGGGAAAGATATGATTTGATACAAACTTTAGAATATACCTCTTACTTCTTTGGTGAGT